ACCATAAAAAGATATCAAAACTTCAAGGAACAAGCTCTGATTTGCAGCTGATTCACTGTATCTTTGTATCTTTGAATCAAGTACTTCAAAAATAGCAAAATACCAACACAATCTCCTACAACATGACTGTGTTACAGATTTGTGGTCAAAGGCCCAAGAACATCTTGAAGTATTTTAAGTCTGTTTTCCTCCCTCCACATCTCTCAGAAAACTCACTCAGAGCAGCATGATTTGGCTACACCTTTCCAGCAACTTTGGCTTAATTCTTTCCCACCTTATGTATTCTTTGAATACTCAGGGCTGCTTTACTACATTTTAATTTCTTGGTTTTACTCTATCCACACTTCTCCACCTCCCACAAACCACACTAATTAGAGAATTCCCAAGCTACCTTGCTTCAAATGCAGCATTTCTGTTCTTGTACATACTGCTAATTTTGGTTTCCCTGGCAAGTGCTGTGGCAGTTTTTACATAGTGATAGGACAAGGCTGAAGTGCTTTAAATGCGAGAGGAAAGGTTTAGATTACATGTTAGCAAGAAATTCTTTACTGTGAGCGTGGTGAGGCTTTGGCACAGGTTGCCCACAGAGAAGTTGTGATCATTCCCTTTGCTGAAACTGTGACTGGTTTTGCATTATCATCTCATCGGTGGCAAGCTCTCTGCCTTTGCTATTTTCTTGTTGAACCACACCCACGCCTCCCACAAACAGAAACTTGAACTTGTAACTATTTTTAAGTATGTTTTTCCAAGGATTTATCTAACAACAGAGATGCTTAAAAGGACATTTTCATCCAAGCAATTTATGTGTCATAATCCTTGGTTTAAGTACGTTTGTTTACAAGGTATTTAAGTTAAAGGAAACTTTTTAAACAAATGAAAAAATAAATGTAACTTAAACCAAGATATCCTACTTCAGTTACTTCAGATAGATCTTAGAGAAACTGGGCAAGATTTCAAAACACCACCAAGCAAGTTCCTTGTGAGAACATGAGAGCACAAACTGAATTTCACTCAGAACACCAGCTTTCCCCAAAGACAACTGTTAGGATTTTAAACTATATCCATTTCAATAGTATATGTCTCTCACTAACTTTTTGTGGCTAACTTAAGACATTTAAGCAGCAATCAAGATCCAGAGTATGACTCCAAGATTTACTCATTGTCATTGTGCTTGGAAAAAAGTTAGATGGGTTTCTTGGCACCACATGACAGAGCTGTAATGTAATTTCACTGCAGCTTGGAAATGATAAAAACTAGTAACACACACACACAAAATAATAATAAAAAAAAAGTTTAGGATTACATGTAACATAAAATTCCTTTTGGACACATTGTCTGAAAGCATGGTCTACCCAGTGCCCTTAAATGACTCATAGCTAAAGGTCAGGAAAACAAACCTATCCTTATTTTTGGTGCAATCATTAAGAAAAAACCCAAACAAAAAAACTCTTCCAAAACTAAAAACCCCACTAACAAACAAAAAACCAGCAGTTTCAGCAGAGGTAAAGAAGGCAGCATGAACCAGAACACAGATCATAGACATCAAAGAACTCTTAAAGAGAAGATTCTGTTCCTTGATTGCCTTCAAGTCCTCTTTTATGGAAGAGAGTGCAAAATGTTAAAATCAAGGTAAGGTGGCAAATTGTATCAAAGATCAAATAGAAACAGAGCCTTTGCTCTCAGGCATTTTAATCAAAGTGCTGAATAACCAAGAAATAGTGAACAAAAGCAGAAATTAAAATAAACAGGAGGCTTTGGTAATTTGGGGATTGGGGAAGAAATAAAACAATCAAGCAAATCCAAATAAGAAGCCATTAAACCCAATTACAACCAGAAACAAAAGAGTTCCATACTTTCCTACTTCAAATATGCAGTTATGTCTTTTAACTTAATGTAGTCCAAATCTTATTTTTGAATGTAGGCTCCATGTTTCCTGGGTCTACTGAAAAAATTATCAGATAGGTGGAAGAATATTCTGTGTGGTTGCAATTAAGCAAGTGGACCTTTCAACTTGCCTGTTTTGTTGGTTTTTTTAAATGGAGAAAGCAATATAAAAAATTTCATTTCTGTCAAGCTCATTATCTTTGAATTCTGGATATACTTTGTCATCATGACAGATTCTAATGGTGGTCCAGCTACAAGGATCTATTATTACCCTAGTCAGTGTGCTGAGGTAATTGTCTTTATCAGGACTTCCCCAGCCACATAAGGCATCTGTTCCAATGGAGAGATTCATATAACCCTGCTCCTGAGGAGCAACACAGCCAAGTTATCAGAAGGCAAATATCATTATACTATATGAATGTATTATTAAATATATTTGACAAAGATGTGAAAATTGCATTTCTGAACCTGTCAACTAATTATAATTATATATAACTATATATGAGGATGCTTTGAGAAGAACAAACTTAATCACCCATGGGTTTGCATGATAGTAACACTGCAATGGGCAGTGAATGTAGGGGCCACATTGTCACTGGAGTGCATTCAGTCCACATATTCCATTTACTTCACTCTAAAGAACAGGCATGTTCTCCCCTTTACTGACAAAAACTTCAAGGAAAGTGAAGTGCTTTCATCTCTCAAAGAAAAGAAAAACAGGATGTGCCCCTATATACAAACGTAGGACAAAACAAGGACTCAGTAAATGAACAGAGCTTGTTGTGGAACACTCAAGAAGCCAAGCCAACAATTTCCAAGGTTATCTCTGTCATGAAGACATCCACATTTCTTTGAAACCAGCATGTGTTCCAATGGCCAGCATAACCAAGCACAATTCTTGGCAAGCCTGTTCAGTGGCAGGCTTTGAAGGCATGCCTGACAGCAGAGAATATATGAAACTAAGATTCAATTGCTTACATTCCAGTCTTTTGTGAGACCGATCTTTACACAAAAAAAAAAAAAAAAAATCAAAAAATCTCCAGTATTTTAGTATTTTCTGCTCACTCCTTTGATATTTAACAATATTTGCAAATTTGTTTTGCAGTTCTGTGAGGTTCCTCCCTCCAGCCCCACAGAACACAGCTATTTCAAGAGCAATGCACCAATTCTCTTAGACACAAGAAATTCTTGTCACCTCATAGCATAAGCACTTAGAACTTGCTTTTAATCCCAGGTTTGCCCAGCCCTGCTGAATTAACATGGGTCAGCAGATGTGTGAGGCTGGACTAGAACAGATTTTCAGGTCACTTCTCTGAAGCCCTGTTTAGCAGCCCTGGGTCCTTTCACATGCCCCAGGCTGAACTTTCCCCGTTGGTGGTGCCAAGCAGCTCTGGAACATTCCTGAAGAATGTTATCTGGGAGAAATTGCCCGACTTCTGCCGTGGGGATATCAGCAATGGAGAGGCATTACTGTCATAAAATGAATACATTTTGCATTTTCCCCACCCCAGAATAACATTCTCCAATAAATAACTTGCACACTTGTCTGATCACAAGTCTCAGCACATTACTGTAACTTCTAATGATTGCCAGGCTTTTGAGATTCTTTTGATGTGAATCAACAAACACTAAATTCAAATATTAAGGGGGAAAAAAAAAGCAGTAAGGAAAATCCACACTAGGGTAGCATATCAACATTCTTTCTCATGACTGACCTCTGAAGCATTTCAAGTTTTGTTTTTCAGCTAATCCTCCTGCAGAAAGCCAGATTTAAGTCTGTGAAGACGTGTCCACACTGCTCAACTCCATGCCTTCTACAAAAATCTATTTAGAGACTTTAAATATGCGTAGGGGAGCAGAGATAGCACAGCACTATCATTTGGAACTGTACAAATACAAGAAAATCATTTGCATATTGATTACTGGATAGACCCTTTACAGTTTCTAAAAAAGGAACTTTTGGATACTATTTAGAAATCCTGCATTTGCTTGCTAAGAAAAAATAAAATCTGCAGAATCAGGGTTTATTAAGAGTTGCACCTATTTAATGCTATTATTTCAGAGAACAGCCCTAAAACCTCTGAAACAGCCAAAAGATACCACTGTGCTATTTAACCTTTCTGCTTGAACAGCCCTTTGAAAGACACACATCTGATTGAACCAGAAGCCTCTAAGTAAAAAATCCCATAATCTTCTAGTCCTGAACATGTTACTTCTTACAGAAATTTTCCATTCTTGATCACAGTCCAAAGAAATAATTTATGTAGAGTTTGAGAAAAATACATTCTTGCCTACGATTAAAAATAGTTGAACTTAGTTTCCATTGGGCGTGTTTTAGAAAATATCTTGCTCTTAATTATCTCTCCAGTAAAACATGCACAACAGCTAGGGAACAAAACAAAACTGTACCTGCTTTCTGTTAAATAAGAAATAGCACTGAATTGTAGCCCACTGTGGTTGACAGTGCACATTTGATCAATTTTATGAAGAATGTAAATGACAGTGTAAGAGTAGATAACAGTAATTTTAAAAAAGGCTTAGAAAAATCTTCATGCTGCAACATTAGTGATATGGATTCAACTTCACAAAAACTCAAACATAACAAATTAATTTATTTCCATGCTAAAGTTTTAGAGTTCCTAAATGATTTAAGAGTTCTGTTGTTCTGTTTTGTGCTAACTGCTTCAGTTACTATCTAACTCCCCAGGCAAGGAAAATGGAGAAAGGTTTTTGAGTGTGGCCAAATTAATAATCTAAATTCATGCCAGAACACTGATTTTTTACAAAGTCTGTCTCATAATCTCAAAATTGAAAGATTTCCTACTGAGAATCCGAAAATGGCACAGTCACACTCACTTCTATTTCCAAAAAGATTTATAGGTTGATTAGTTTTCATCAAGTAAAGAATAACGATAAAATAATAGGAGTTACTCCTCTCTTCCTCCCCAGAAGAAAAGTCCTCTCCACCTCTCTGGTCTAAGTTCTGTGTGCTGTACCACAAATATATCACAAAAATGGCCTTGGGCTACAAATCACAATTTGTTCAGAATGCCTCCGACTTCCACCTCATTGCTACTTTTACTTTGGTGCAGAGGGAAGTAGCTCTCATCTCCAAGACTACTTTTCATATATTCAGATAACCACTAACATTGATTGTTGTTACATTTTGATTACAGTGCAACAAAACAAACCAAACAAAAAAGATATTGGAATTAACTTCTTGTGTTGCAAGAGGGGAAAACAAAACAAAACAAAACAAAACAAAACAACAAAAAACCCAGGAAAGAATCCTGACCACAAAAACCATGAGAGATCGCCTGCAAGAGCTTAAACTGAGAGTTAAGGAACTACAGATAGCTGGGGAAAACAATGGTGCAACTGTACAGGAAGAGGAGCAGGAGGAGTTTGAACAGCAGGCCATTATTTATGAAAAAGAGCCCATAACTGAAAGGCACTTGCATGAAATCCAGAAGCTTCAGAACGAAATTAATAATCTGGTGGAAGAAGTCAGTAAATTCAGCCAACAACAAAAAAGCCTGGTGTCTTCAATGAGAAGGTTCAGCGTTCTCAAGAAGGAATCTAACATAGCAAGGGAAATCAAAATTCAAGCAGAACACGTACGCAAATGTTTGGATGAGCTGTCAAAAGCGGTGAGGAGAGCTGAAAACGAGCACGGGCCGGCCCGAGCCACGGTGAGGATCCTGGCAGCCCAGCACGCCTTCCTGTCCCACCGCTACCTCCAGGCCATGCTCTCCTACAACGAGGCCATCACCGCCAAGCAGGACAAGTGCAGGACATTCATCCGGCGCCAGCTCGAGGTAGCTGGCAAAGAGGTGTCTGAAGAGGAAGTCAATGACATGCTCCAGCAAGGAAAATGGGAGATCTTCAATGAAAATCTACTCACTGAAGTCAAGATTACTAAAGCTCAGCTGTCAGAGATCGAGCAGAGACACAAAGAACTGGTCAATCTGGAGAACCAGATCAAAGACGTGAAAGAACTCTTTATCCAGATCTCAATTCTGGTGGAGGAGCAAGGGGAGATGATCAACAACATCGAAATCTGCATGAACAACACTCAAGAATATACTCAGGTATCTAAAGAAAAGTTTGGCCTTGCAGTCAGGTATAAAAAAAGAAACCCTTGCAAAGTGATTTGCTGCTGGTGCTGTCCGTGCTGCAGATGACACAAGAAATGAACTGCTTGGAATATCAATGGTTCCTCCACACCAAACTGATCTTGGAAAGCATTTTTGGGATCCCTCAACTGCTTCACTTTTCTTCCCATTTTACCTTCAGCAGAGCTCTCTCTCCATTTTCCATAACAGAGTAAAGAATTACATGGTTTTCACAGAAACACATGAACTACAAGAAAGGATAAAAGGATAAAAGTGACATTTTTTCATTCTTCTAAGCTTCTTCAAAGTTTAGAATTTCTCAAGTTTAGTTTGGTTCTTCAAACTGAAACAGTGTGACAACAAACTCCCTGTGCTGTTGGGAAGCATTAAAAATACTGGTAATCTCAAAGACAGGATAAAAATGTTTTATTTACTTTTCACAAAATAATAATATGTATTTTTAGTTGCCTTGTGTTTTTTTAGCATTTATATGTACTTGTTCAAATTCTAAATGTTTTTTTCCCCAGGAATCTGAAAATCTGCAAAACAAATCCACACATGAAGCAGACACCATTAGTAACAAACCAGAATGGGATGCCTAAACCAAATCAGAGGTCAGAAAACTTACCAGGAATGTTTCAATAGTACCTCTATAGGAAAAGTTTTATCAACTGACACAGAGATATTTATATTATTCAGCTCCCCAGGCAGAGCCCTACCAGGATAGGGGAATATGATCCTTAATTACACACTCACAAGGCACATTCTTAATGCTGCCTACCCTACTTAAATACACAGTCACATTTGCAGTCTCACTTTTGCTAGCACAAAAATTAATGAAAAAAATAACATAAAAAATAGAACTCCATCCTTGCACCCCCTACTCCTCCATAATCTAGAACCAGAGAATGCTTTAGGTTGGAAGGGACCTCCTGTAACCAACTCCTTTTGGAACTGAGTGAGAAATAGCTCTCCATTCAATTTAGCAGACAATAGCAATCTAACTGAGACAAAAAAGTTACTTCCAAAAAGAAATTTAAAAAATTATAATTCCACACTAGAATCAAACAGCAAACTAGAAATAAATTCCTAAACTGCTTATTGCTGTGCAAAGACACAATCAATACCACTTTATTTGGAGAGAGAAGGCAAAAGAAACTGCACTGCAATTCAGCAAGACAGTAAGTGAACTGGATGCTTTTAGTTGCATGTAGTGGGAAAAAAATCTACTATCAAAGTCATTTTCACATTGTGATATCTAGAAATAGTTGGATTCCTTCCATCCCAGATTAAAACTGCAAATGAAATTAACTGCTATCAAAATACAATCAAAGGTCTGAACCTTAAAGTGAAAAATACTATTTACACAGTAGCAACAACAAATAAACTTAGATGATGACACCACTGGAACTATTGCATTAAACACTCTCCCCTTAACTGCATATATTAAAAATAGCTTTATGTTCCAAGGGCAGAGTAGATATTAGCCAATAAACAAGAACTGTAGTTCAATAGTAGAATAAAACTCACATTTTCAAAATTCAAGTTTTAATACTTCGGAAAACAGCTGCCTAAGTAATTTCCAGATGTAAACTTGTTTGAAGCAGGCAAAACAGATAAAACACAGTGAAGGAGAAGTGGAAAGTGAGAAAGACTTGTGGAAACCTTTTCCTTGATAGGGGGTACTATTAACTGAAAATAAACAGTATGAAATTATAGTATGAACTACAGTTTACACTGAATTTGATATTGAGCATTCAAAACTATTAACAGCAGAAATTTTGCAGTGATCACTAAAGTAACTTTCCAGTGTTTTCAGGAGTTACATAAATATGCAGAAAACCAAACAAATTAAAGCCCAGCTGCAAGTGTTTTATGTAGAAAAGTGAAACATTAATAGCTATAATCCCTTATCACCAAAATAACAGGTAGAGAGGAGCTTTCTCCTACCAAAATACCTGTCCAAAAAATCTCCTTGGTATAAAATATCAGTCACAGCACATGGACTTGCATTTCCTCTTGCACGTGCTCCATGTCAACTTACAAAAAACCCCCAAAGCAAAACAAAGACTCCAAATAAACATAACTAATCCCAAACAAAACCAGCATTTGCCTGCATAATATGATGTGTGTGCTCCTTTCTGATAAAAGAAAGGACAAAAATAATCCTGAGGAAAATTTAAACTTGCATACCTATAAGTCTTGAGGATGCTGCCAGAAGAATTTACCCATAAACATAAATCAGGTGGTAACACTGAACAGTAAAAAAAACCCAAATGACAAGTTTAATATGTCTAAATAATTTACACCAAGTAAAATACAATAGTATCAACACTTGAGGAAAATTGTCTTAAAATGATGCTGTGACACCTCAGTGGGCAGCAATAAATTACAACATGGGAAAGCAGCAATTAATTTTGTAGAAAATAATCACACTGAACATCAGATTTCTTATATTCCTACATTTCTGTAAGATAGAGTATTTAGCACCAATTTTATGTCTACATTGTGCAAGTCAGCCTATTCTGCACAGATTAAAATGCACTAATTTTTGTAATTAGCAAGGTATTAGGAAACTTATTGCTATATGGGTAGCAAGTATCTCATTTAAAAAAACAACAAAACCAGAAAATCCATAAAATCTGAACATGTAAATTATTATAATATTAAAAAAGGCTAACTTTCAGCATAAATTTGGAAATCTGACAATACAGGAGAGAATTCTTAACTCAAAGGGAATATAAACCAAAGAATTACTGGATCCCTCCACAGAACTGGGACACTGCAAAAGCAAATTCTGATCAAAGGCTTGAAGCTTAATCTAATAAAAAGTAATAGCATCAACAGACTTGGTTTAGTCACCATTAGAGCAATTAATAAATACACTCTGCCTTCTGATTAGCTACTGATAGAGATCAAAAAGCAGCATCAAGATCCAGGGAAGAGAGTGAGTTCTCTGCAGGTCCAATCAGGCACCCAAACAAACTCCATCATAGGATTAGAGCATAGAGATTTCTACCAAAAAAAATACAACCCCAAACCCCCCATAAAGTTGTATTTAATTAAAAAATACAGCACAGTTTTCCACTGCCACTGCTGCATTTTCAAAACATATTTGAGTTACACTAAGTTGGCTTTATTGCCTTCCCTGTGCCAGTAACATTCAGAGCAATAAAGGTAAAATCTAATCTATTTTCAACATATACACCATTACCTTGCTGAACTACCCTCCACTTCATCAACACAATTAGCCAGGCTCAGCTTCAAACCAGCAGAGCATCACTATTTCTTAAAAATTAGAGGTCTCTACTCTTACCTATAGATTCTTTATGATAGCACAGGAATGTTGTGCAATTCATGCATTATGGAGGTCATTAAGTTCACCAGACATTATTGACTTGATAAACCATTTTCAACTTTCAGAGTTTGTTTTTTAACTTCAAAAGAATATTTGTTATCAAATATTTTTGGTGTGGAATTTAATGATATACATTCTTTCCAATATTTTTACAAACCCTATTGAACAGGGAAAAAGCACATGCCCAATACAATTAAAGTAAACCTCCTTTAAAGAGATTTTGCTGATCATGTATCAGCAGCACCATGTGTTAAGTGAACAAGACATTTATTTCTGAGAGATCATGCTATTTCTGAATATAATCAACAATTTACCATTTAATTAATTGATGTAGGAATTAGTAGCAATAATATTTTTACATCATGTTGCCATTCCAAATTTGTAAAGCCTTTTAACCTAGCATTTCAAGTTATATTAGAATTTTAAAGTGTTAAAAAAATCCCACCTTGTTATTTTTCCATGGCTAATGAAAGAGGAGAGAAATAAATACCCCTGAGAAGGATTAAATAAAACATAAAACCATAAAACTAATTGTAGTGTAGGTTAGTGCCAAAATTACAGCAGTATTAGTTACAACAGAAATCCTTCTTCAGGTCTAATTTCACCCAATTTCAGATTATTAGGAGAACACTCATTACATTACTTACACTAACACAGGTTTTCCTGATATCTTAGGGCTTTTTAAAACTTCTATCATGGCTTGTTTTGTTTCTTCCATTCTTTCAATGTCACTGGAATCCACCACAAATATGACACCGTAGGACTCAGCATAATAATTCCTCCAGATATTCCGAATTCGTTTTCCACCTCCTAAATCATAGATGGTGACTTCAAAGCGTCCCTGTTTAAGATCAATTTTGGAAAACCCAACTGTTGGAGCCACATCTTCAGGAGACTCTGTCAAAGAAGTTTAAAGAGGGTTTTATAGTGGGATTTGTATAGCAAAATTCACATTTTAAAAAGACAGAGCCAAACCTCCCTATTAAATATTGCTGACCACATTTTTCCATACATGAAGATTTTGCCTCTCCTCAGGGAATTTTAAATTAACTCTCATCTAGTTACTTTACGTTAATTTAGATTTAGGAGAGTGAGAAGAGGGGAAGAGTGAAAGAGGGGAGAAAAGAGAGGGGCCCAAAAGGCAGATTTTAACATTTCACACCACAGTTCCATTGCAGTGGTGGTCACTGTACTGCATTTTCACTTCCACTCTCATTTCCATGGTAGTAATTCAACTTTGAGAAGGAAAACAACCAAAACAGTTAATACATTATGACCTGGGAACCCTTGTGATCTGCCACATTTTTTTAATCCTTCATGGCTGCAAAAACAGCTTCAGAAGTTCAAACCAAAGGCTGAGATGCAATGACTGAAACCATGTTCTTCTGAGATGTAAATTATTTGATTCCCTTCATTCAAGGCTAGGTTTTAGCCTTTGTTTGTTTGGTTATTTTTATTTGCTGGGTTTTTTTCCTAATCTGCCATGCAATATGCTAAAAAATTATAGATTTCTATTTAATACTATTTAATACTTTTGCTTGCTGTCTCTCTTTCCTGAGGGCAAAGAATTTCTGGACTCGCCTCACACCACTAAGCTGTGCCTGCAGGGCTGAGATAATTGGATCTCTGTTTTATGCAGCTGGTAGCACAAGGCAAAATAAACATGTAAAATTCAGCTTGTTGAGAGGAAAAAACTGGCTAAAAGCACTGAGCTCTGAAGAGCTCTGTAGAAACTGAATCACCACCAGCCTTCTGCTCCTACCCTTAAGACAGGCAAGATGAGCATTCAGGACGTTTAAGCCCTGGGGAACACTCAAAAAAATCAGAACGATCTTTTCCTTGAGTTTCCCTTTAGAAATACACATCTTTATCTCATTTTTTTTCCCCTGAAAAATAGGACTTTAAGAAATAACTGTTACATTCAGATGGTAAAGACAGTAGAGGTGATTTTCAAATAGAATGGAAGGCTGAGTAATGAAACACTCCTGTTTTCAGGGCAAAGATGGAGGAATAGGAGAGAATACTCATGATTTTATTTGTGCTTTAGCAAGCCTGTGAA